AATTTTTATCCCTTGGCCAAGAGGACACCTAGATGCTCTTGTATTTCTCCTGAGTGATTTTGTTTCTTCTCCATATTTCCTGTGCTCTAAATGTGTTAGTTTGACGATCAACAAAATCGGAACAACTTTATTATGTAAGCATAGCTGCCTATTGTCCTTTGAGAGCTTTTGGTAATTTTCTAAATTTCATGAAGAGAGCAAGCCTTACTTAGTCATATTGTGGAAAATTGTCTTCTTTAGGGTTTCTATTGCTATGAAGAGACACCATGACCATGGCAACTTCCTTTTCATTGTTGATTTTTTTTCTTTTAACCCAAGACCTGGCTTTACTGTGTAGCCCTAAGCTGTCCTGGAACTCACTCTGTAGATCAGGCTGGCTCAAACTCACAGAAATTGACCTGTCTCAGGGTCCTGGGTTCTGGGATTACACATGTGCACCACCACCACACAGCTGATCATGGTAACTCTTATATTTTTGGTTGTGAGCCTAGCTTTAATGGCTGAGTCATCTCGCCAGCCCCATGGCAACTCTTATAAAGGAAAAACTTTTAATTTGGGCAGCTTATATTTTCAGAGGTTCAGTTCATTATCATCATGGTGAGACATGGCAGCACACAGGCAGACATGGTGCTGGAACTGAGAGTCCTTCCATATTGACTCAGAGACAACACAAGTGGTCTAAGACACTGGACCATACCTTGACCACATATGAGGTCTCAAAGTCCCCCTCCACAGTGACATACTTCAATAAGACCACACCTCCTAATGGTGTCACTCCCTTTGGGGGACACTCTCTTTCTTCACCTATGGAATCAATAGACTCATATTGACCCTTAAAGTATTGAACTAATGTATATAAAATCCATAATTAAAAATTCAGATCATCTGCATTTGTTTTATATTGGCTACTTATCTGCATATTATTTGTTTGTTCATTTTGTTTTTTGCCATGACCAGATACCTGAGAGAAACAAGTTAGAGCAGCAATGATTGATTTCCCATGGTTTCAGAGACTTTAGTACATGGCCATCTAATTCCATTGTTTTTGGGCCATGGTGAGAAAGAAAATAATGGGAGAAGAGAGGGAAACTGCAAAGCAACTCACTTCATGGAATCCAGGAATCAGCACAGAGACTCCCATGTGTCAAGACAGGGCACACTCCCAGTGACCTACTTCCTCCAATGAAGTCCCACAGCCTAGGTCTCCACTACTTCTGAATAATATCATCACACTATGACTCCATGATGAATTAATCCAGTGATAAAGTCTCAGACCTCTAGATTCTAACACTCTGAAAAAAAAGCCCTATTAGCTAAGTCTTCAGTGACTTCTACTTTGGTGGACTCTTGTGATGACATTAATCCTTGCCAGACAATCCAAGGTAGATTTTAAATTCAAGATCAGCTGGTATGGTGTTTGAATGTAATTGTCCTCCATAACCTCTTAGGGAGCTGTGGCTTTGTTGGAGAGCATATGGCCCTGTTGGAAGAAATGTGTCACGGGGTGGGGGGGTGTCAGGCTTTGAGGTTTACTATGCTTAGGATACCACCCAGTGTCTCAGTTGACTTATTATTGCCTGAAAGATGTACAACTCCTAGCTACTATGCCAGCACCATGTCTGCTTGATGCCACCATGCTTCCTGCCATGATGATAATGTACTGAACTTCTGAAACTGTAAGTGAGCCACACAAATTAAGTGTTTTACTTTGTAAGCATTGCCATGGTCATGGTATCTCTTCACAGTCATAGAATCCCCCAATAAGACAGCTCGTAAGCAACCTCAATTCTCCTGTACTATAATCAGCCATATTTGTAGCTCCAGGGTTAGAAACTAGGCATCTCTGGAGAAGACATCACCTTTCCCCTACAACATTACTTTTTAGTTATTCTCTAAAGACAAATTTTCCTTCTAACATTGTTCTCAGACAGGTGTTGAAGAGAGGGGTTCACATAGGTTCCTGTGACTGGGTGTATAGATAATCTAGTTACAAAGATGCTAGCCTATATATGGCCTTTTATGACGTTTCCTTCCATTACTTTATTTTCTGCGATTGAACTATGATACAGTCTAACAAGGAAAAGGCACATCTTTTTGACAGCACCATCTTCTAGTGATGGATACGTGTGTGAAAAAAATGGAAGGAGCATTTCAGGCAGGAAGAAAGAGGCAGAGCAGAAAAGGGGGTGCCCCTACAGCTGTCTCTCTACCCCTCCTATCCCATCAACACCTCTAATGAGCTAGTATCCATACACTTCACACTGTTAAGGTAAAAACTTCAGTGGGCTTTAATGTATTCAAATTGTTGCAAGACCATAACCACTCTATTATGCCAGAAGAGAACTCATCTGTCACCCCCAAATACACCATTTCCATTGGCAGCCACTCTCCACTGTGCCACAGGAAACACTCATCTTTCCCTGTGAATGTGCCTACTCTGGGCATTTCATAAATGGAATAATGTAATATCTGGCCATCCATATCTGAGTCCTTTCACTTAGCATAATTCCTTCCCTTAGGAGCTTCCTTCCTTTTTATGCCCAATCATCTTGTTATTATGGCATTCACAGTTGATAGTCATTTTGGATTGTTTCCATTTTTGGATAATTGTGAATAATATTGCTATAAGTATGCTTTACAAGGTTTTGTGTGTACACGGTTTCAGTTATCCTGGGTATGTACTGGGGATATAATTTTGGGTCATTTGGTGGCTGTGTGTTTAACATTTTGAGAAATTGCCAAACTGTTTTTCAAACATACAGCCGCATCATCTTGCACTCTGTGCGAAAGCGTTTGTGGCTTCCATGTCTCCACAGTCTCACCCACACTTGCACTTGTCTGCCTTTTGATTAGAGACAGCCTGGTGGGTGTGAAGTGCTATGACTGTGTGGTTTTGATTGGCATTTCACTAACGACTAATGGCACTGAGCATCTTTTCATGGACTTTGCAGGGTATCTTCCCAGCCTCACTGAAACCAACTCAAGCATCCAACAGTGATGAACACTACTGATGATTCCCTCTTTCTTGAAATTCGCCCTTGTCTGGGCCTCTGGAAGTTATCATCTCTTTGCTTATATACTTAGTGTGTTGTGTGGGAGAATCTGCAGCCAGCCTACCCAATTTGCAGTTGCCATTCCCAGGTTCCCCAGGCCAGCCGGCATGAGCAGCAAGCACTTCCTCCCTAGCCAAGCCTGCTTGTAAGCCCAGAGACTTCTGGTGAAGAGACACCTGACCAGAGACACCAATGAGGCAAGGACAATGCAGCAGAGTCAGCCACCTGAGCCGATGGGACCTTGGGAGGGGGTATAAAGGCAGGACTAACTTCCTTAATAAATGAGTCTGCAGCGCTCTCTGTTACTCACTAACTCCCAGTGCCTGAGTCATTGGTGCTGCATCTTCCCACCCCCTCCCCCAAGGGGTGTTCAAGCAGGGTAACCTGCAACAGTGTTGGTAGGGTGAGTCCTACTTCTCTTCCTTCGAAGGCTCTGGCTTTGTCATGATTTCTCTATCCCGAGTGGCTGAGTAGCTGTCAGAGTCCTGTGATTAGGCTGTCACTTAAAAATTTGTGTCAGTATATCATGTATCAGGAGGAGGTGAGATCATGCCTTCAGGGAAAAATCACCTAGACAGTGAGATGTTTACTGTATTTGGTATCGTGGCAGCTTTCAGATGGTTGCCGCTGATGGAAAGTGGCATTTCCAGGACTGAGTGCTATCAGCCTATGGGTACAGCTCTGATGAGTAAGCCTAGAGGAGAGAGGTATACAAAGGGAAAGCGGAGACAGGTCTAGACCCGGGAGTCTGGCCTGGCCTTGAGGACAGACAGGATGATCAGTGCTGAAAGCCTGGGCAGCAGCATATGGAGATAGGTCTCCACATAACACAGAAGGCCAGGCCAAACGAAGTGTTACCTCATACTTTGGCTTTTCCATTTTCCATTCTCTACAATTAATAGTAAATACAGGATTATAATTCAAGGACATGAATAAGGTTTATGTTTAGAGAGAATTACAATAGATGCCATTGGTAAAGTAAAACTTTAAAATACCACTTTAGCCTTGAAGATTATATATTGAATTAGAGATACTGTGGTCCTTAACTCATGACCTCTGATTAATAAGAGTGCTGTGTCTATTACCTGTGTGCTTTCGTAGACTGGACCAGGGAAATGAGGGATTCAAAAGAGTAAGTGAAGGCCAGTAAGATGGCTCATCAAGTAAAGGTACTTGCTAACAAGACTGACAACCTGAGTTCAATCCCCAAAATGCACAAGGTAGCAGGACAGAACCTGCTGACAATTGTCCTCTGACCTTTACATGTGACCTACACACACACACACACACACACACACACAAATTAATTTTAAAATTTTTAAAGAAATTTAAGTTCACAGGATTAATATGTGGAGCTGGACCCCTGGCCTCTCTCTTAACATTGGATTCTCCTTCTGTAAAATGAAGATCACTTCAAAAAGGAATTGGGGGAGTAATAAACAAATTACTTTCCAGCACTAATACAAGCTCTGGTTGTCATAGAAAGAATGAATGAGAACTGTCTGCCGTATAGTTATATGGTTATTATTCAAAGCCCATGCTACTTCCTCCTTTCACTAATTCACTGGTTACTTATTCTCTGTTGGCCAATTCTTGTCTCTTGTCAGTTTCAGAGTCACAACAGCCATCTCTTAAGATATGCTGTCATTTCAAAGCACTGGCTAACTACAACCTAGACTGACAATGACGAATAATTCCACAGATCCTGTAATGTTCTCTGACAATTATTTTCCTCAAACTCTCATATGCCACCAGTGTCCCTCTTGCTTTATGCTTCTTTACTCTCAGCAGGTTCCAAATGTTGTTTCTGAAGGTGGACATCATCTTCTTCTGAAGAATAATACATCAGGGACCAGTGGAGAGGAATCAGCCTTCAGAAAAGCTGGGCTGTCAAGTCAAAAGATAGAAGGTGAATTAAACATGTTTTCCTTTCTTTTATGCTTTCAGCATGTACATGTCCACATTCTTCCTAGGAAGGCAGGGGACTTCCACAGAAATGACAGCATCTATGATGAGGTGAGTCCGTCCTTTGTGACCTTATTATTTGATCACAGGACCTGTCATTGTGATGAAATCAACCCAGTTAACCAGATGCCACCCCAGACATTATATTCTACCTAGTAGGATTTGTGAAGTGGCAGTAGAAGCTAACAAGTTTAAAGTGACCATCAGGGTAAAATAAATGATTTATAGTGATTTGTTTTTACTAATGAACTCCAATAGCAAACGAAGTTTTCATGTGACTTTTGCTTTGTCATGTTTACCAGGACGCATAATATCTGTGTGAAGACATGATACTGAATGTAAAGTGTTCCCAATAGAAATCAAGCAGAGTAGCATGTGACTCTTTGAGATGAATGTGCTTACTTAGGCAGCTGGGGAGATGGCCTAGTGGATAAAGTGCTTCCACTGCAGGTATGAGAACTTCGAATGGCAGTACATGCATGTATGTAACCCCAGAACAAGGAGCAAAATGGCCATGAAGTAGATGGGCAGATTTCTGGAGCTCACTGATCATCCAGTCTACCCAAATCAGTGAGTTGCAGGCTCACCAAGACCCTATCTCCAAAAAAAATATGAAAAGTGATGGAGGAATATACTGAATGCCAACCTCTTGAACCTCTTGCATATGTATATACATATTCATGCACACTAACATGTATACATACACAATACACACATGAAAACCATGATGCCTTTGCATTTAGCACACTTTTGGACTCAAGTTGTCTCTCCAAAGAACATACATTCAAAGTGAAATTTTGAGTCATCCTCAAAAGGAGCTAGGTTGGTTTAAATGATAGGTGAGTGACTTGTATCTCCTGAATATTTTAGAAGTTGTGTGATTTCTCAATCATTCCACCAAAAGACATAAATGTCACATCAGCACGATATGAACCATCAGAGGCTGCACAACTCTAATCTAGGGTCTTGTCTACATGAGAACCTTTGAGTGTCTGCATGTGCTGTATTGAACACTGCCTATGATAGAATAGGTTAGAAGAGAATGTAAGCCATTGAGTTTACATACTGACTACAGCAATGGAAGGGAAAATACATTTCATGCATTTGAGAACTGATCAGGTGGTGCCAGTGCTCTGGAGTGGTTGTTTTTGAAGTACTTTGGCTGTAACAAGGAAATGCACTTGGCTTGATTAGCAACATCTGCCTTGGGTATCAAATAAGATAGACAGATATCAGTCATTTATTTGGTTTTCCTCTTCCGGTACTTAGGAAACAATTTCCACTTTTATTTTTAATTTTGCTTGTGTATTATGTGTCTCTGTCAACTAGACCTCTAAGAAGATAAGATCTTCAACTTGTCCCTAGATGTCACATACGTCTCTGTATATGTTCATAGGGTTTTTCCTAATTAGCTAGGAATTAAAATGGCTATTCAAACATTGTAAATAAAGAATGTCAGCATTTAATTAGTCTGTTCTGGGACTCAGTGGATCACTTGATGGATTTTCCAGCATTTGCTGTGAAGTCATGGAGGGTAGACACTGTTAAGCCACTAGTTTTCAGTGCTGATTTGTGACCTAGTAGCTGAAACTCTTATTATTTATTAGGGATATCTTTGTCCATAGAGACTGTGTTTGGGTGGATGACAAAAGCACATGGGATAAGTTATCACATGTATCAAAACCCTTGCAGGTGATTCTGATGCAGGTGTAGGTGTAAAAACAGGTGCTGCTCACAGCCTGGGCTTCCAAAGCCTCTAAACACTCTAATGTGAACTCAGTTTCAGCAGATGGAGGATGCAGGTTGGGGACTGGTAATGACTTAGTCTATGTGGGAAGAAAATCACAGTCACAGGACCATTATACAGAGATACATAAAAACACAAGTACACAGCTCACTAACGTAAACCAAGGTTAATAAAATGTTGCCAAGTACAGGGTATTTTAATGAATAAATTACCACATGATTTATATACAGGAGAATGCTGCTGGAGTGGCATTAAAAGCGCTTGAAAACACTGTTTTCTTAGGCTGATCAGTCACCTTGAATCTTGTTTATGTTTCAAATGTGCTGTTGACAGTAGCTGTGTGGATACATTTCAGTTCCATACAAGACACAATGGCTGACCCTGCACAGTTCTGGCCTCTCAGCTAGTACTCTCTCACCCTTCTAGCATGCTCTAGTGGCATCTCTAGACTCACAGATAAAGCAATATGTGTTGCTACATCCTGTACATCCCCTCTATATGAAGAAGTAATTTCCATAAAAACAATTTTTCAGCCGGGCAGTGGTGGCGCATGCCTTTAATCCCAGCACTCGGGAGGCAGAGGCAGGCGGATCTCTGTGAGTTCGAGGCCGGGCTGGACGGATAGCCTCCGAAACAATACAGAGAAACCCTGTCTCGAAAAAACCAAAAAGAAAAAAAAAAACAATTTTTCAGTCAATATTAGCTTATAGTGTGCTCTATAGAGTTAGTAGTACAATACTAGAAGAGACTGAACAACAGATTTAAGTTCATTGCCACCTACTGAGATGACAGTCTATAAAGTCACTTGGCTTCCTTAATTTTATCTTTAAAATGATTGGTCCTTACCACTCCAAAACTTAGCATACAGCTCTTAAAAGCAGATACTGAGGATTAGTGCTTAATAAACAGTTAGTAGGTTGCTATTTAGTATTACTGTTGTTGTTGCTAATTTTGCCTTTGAGCCCATACAGCCAGTAAGTGATAGGTGACCTAGTTTTCAAACTAGACTATTAAATGTCCTCATTTAGCACTATTTTCCAGAGTGACTAAAACATCATGTTTCCAATTTTCTGTCTGCCTTTAGCTACTCGGCCTCCACTTAATCTTCCTCTTTGTTGGAGAAGCGTCTCTCGTTTGAGTATGTAATAAGATAGGGCCTAGAAAGAGACATGGGGAGCATGAAGCATCGTGAAGACATTATTGGTGCAAGATGTAATGTATATTAGACTGAGTGATCTTAATCAGAAATGATAGGTGATGAGGGATGACATTCTTTATCCTGATGAAATAACTCACTGGTGGATTATGTATCTCTTTATAACACAACAAACAGGCTGCCTTGGAGGGAGACTGGTGGCAAATAGAAACAGCAAAGGACCAAGCTCAGTAAACATAGTTGCAGTCCTACTGCTGCAGTCTTACAGTGCAATACCAAAAGAAGCCCTAGGTTAAATGTGCTCAAAAGGTTACATTATATCTAAGCACGTTTTTAAGATGAATAATGATAACTGGAGAAGATTCACCTAAGAGATACAGGAGGATAAGTTCTGGAAATAGAGAAAGGGGATGGAGACTGGAGAACAAAGATACTTACAAGGGGAAACATAGTTACTGTTTCTAACATTCTGGAAAGTTTTTTTAAAGGTCATTAAATATGTTCTATGTGCCGTTAATATGTTCTGTGTGACTTCTAAACAGAGATCTAGGAATATCTGCCTCCAAAGAGAAAGATGTCAACAAGCATGGGACTGATCCAGACCCCCTGAATGTGGGTGTCAGTGAAGAGGTCTTGGCAATCTATGGGGCCTCGGGTAGTATTTATACAAATGGACTTTGGACTCCCATCCCACAATGAGGGATGCTCTCTCACCTGGACTCTTGGGGGGAGGGCCTAGGCCCTGCCCTGAATGAAATAACAGACTATGGACACCCCCATGGAGGGCCTCACCCTCCCTGGGGATCGGAGTGGGAATTGGGTGGGGTCTGGGGGGGAGGGTAGGGAGAGGGAGCTGGCATTGACGTGTGAAGAAAACTTGTTTCTAGTTTAAATTAAAAAAATGAAAAGAAAAAAAAAGAATAGATCACATTTAGGAAAAAACTAACAGAATTACCTTTGTGTGAAAAGATGAGAGTTCCATCCTTGGATCCCTTGAGGTCATACTTGTTCAGAAGTCTGTGTGGTCACTGCTTGGGTCACATGGCTGCACTTCCTGCCTCTTCATATATGGCCCATTCTCCCACGCATTTCCACTTGTCAATTCTGCAAGCTCTGTAGCAAATGGTGCCTTTCTCTTATTAGTATTACGGCACTTGGGCAGCTGCCTAACAAAACATTCTTTGTTTGTTTGGTTCTTAGAAATGCAAGATGTAACTCTTTCTTGACTTTTATGAGACTGTTTTCTATCGATTTTTCCTCAGTTCCAGCCTCTTCCTGCCTTTTTTCTAGCTCAGCATTACATATTGATGATCCGTGGGTTTTGCTTGCTTCCTCACATGTGTTCTGTCATTCCCTGCAAAGTACTTTTTAATGATGTGCTTCATTTTTGTCTGAAAAGTGCCTTCTAATGAGACGGAATGCTGTTAAGCCTGTCACTCATGCTGTAGGTCAGTACAGCTCCCACGGTTCTGTCTCTTACATAGACTCGCGTGTGCCTTTACAGGGTGTCCTCAGCCTGAGTATTAAAGTCTTTCCCACAAATACAGACTTTGAGGCCTGTATAAGCAGTGTGGGTTCCCAAAGTCATTTAAGTTTGAGTTCCTGTTCCAGTTCATCTTTTGTCTGTACCATTTGAATGTTGCTGCTCTCTGAAACATCTGTTGGGACCCGCATTTCATGCCAAACTGTCTGTACTATCTGTTTCCCCTTCCTGCTTGCTTGCTGATTTGCAATGTTGTGGCCCAGAGTGATTTCTTCACATTCAATGTTGAGTCCTGCCTACTTTTCTGCCACCAGTGACTCTCCTTCTCATATAGCTTGCTTTTGCCAAATTTAGCATTGGTATTCCTACCTCGGGGTCTTTGTACAAATTGTTCTCTGCCTGCAATGTCTGACATCTGTTCCTGTTCATGTAGCTCTGTGTCTTTATCCAAAGCTTAGGTCAATGTCACCTCCTAGAAGAACACTTCTTATTCTTTTTTCACTTTAGCTAAAATAACCAGGCTTGCCTGACCACCATAGCTCCTTCTGATTAGCATGTCTGCTACATCCTTAACAACTCACTCAAGATAATTTTTAGTTATATGCAGTATCTGCATCTCCCAGATGCATTGGAAAGCCTTGAGAGCAGGGACCCAGTCTGGTATA